TGACGCGGGGCTCGAACTCACGGACCGCGAGATCGTGACCTGGCTGAAGTCGGACACCTAACCGACTGCGCCACCCAGGCGCCCCTATCTTCTCATTTAGTCTTCAAGAAAGCCCTATGAATTAGACAATATTTTTCACATTTTATAGAGGCAGAAATTGGAGCAGAGAAAAGGGAAGTTACTTGCTGGAGATCCAGCTGGCGGAGCCACAATTTGAACCTAAGCAGTCAAATTCTGAGCCTGGACTCCTATTTCCATAAAGAAGACACCATATGACCCTAAAAAACCCCTCCAAAGATTTAACTATCCTTGCATTTGCTTACCTTGAAGACCTGCATATTTAAGAGATGACCAGTTTGGGATGTCGTAACAGCCTCCACCATCTTCTTGTTCTTCTGCTTCACATCGGTAAAGTACCTGATTCAGCTCAGCCAAAGTTAATTTAGAAGCAATACTAAGAAGTGGAAAATAAAGAGAACTAGTTAAATACAGTAAAATTTCACTTGCTGTCAATAAAACTAAAGAGGAAAATCTGAATCATAACCATAAAGTGTCTTAGCAATATATGTTTTAGGAATTTGGCATTATGATATACATTATAAACAATATTCATTATGAATAGTAGTTTAAAGATAAAACATGCTAAAAATTCAGTTAGAAGTAACACTTCTTCCAAGCAAAAAAAAAAAAAAAAATGAATTGTCAAATTTTACTACTTAGAGTATGCTAGAAAATTTTTTGGTTGCTACCACCTTTTTCTCACAAATTTACTTTTTTAATCTTTCTAGTTGGGCTTAGTTGTTTCTTTATATTCTATGTGGGGACATCAATAGCTTTTTATGCTAATTATCTTGAAATCAAAATACTTCTCAAAGACTAGTAAAGGGATAATCAAAAGTCACAGTTAACCACCTTGGAAATCAGGTAGCATTTCTCTCCTTTTCCTTTTCTCCTTTCCGCAGGTTGCATTACCCTTTAGTTGGGTTATTCAGGAAATCAGGATTTTCTTAGATAAAGATGCTTCTTGATAGTAGTTGGAAGGAAGTGTCTATCATGGCCTTGGTTTCCCTTTGTCCAGGTAGCAGTGAGACTGTATTACTGACTACACCTGAATACAACCAAAAACTCTACTTTCTTGTAATTGTAGCTGTTTAGTCATTTCATTTTACCTAACTGAACACAAATCCTCCTGAGTTGTATGTGAACACATAATCCTCTTGAATGTACTTCCTTCCTTCTCTTTTAGTTCCGCCTCAGCTTAGAAAATTATTGTTGGCTGTGCTTTATTCCCTGTCTCTGCCTAGACTCTGTCCCCACAGCTGGGACTGACTTCTCCTTCATCTGCAGTCTGTGAATCAAGTTTGACCAAATCAGTCAGCAGTCTCAGTATCAACTCCATTCTAGGGCAATATTTTTCAACACGTAGCCAGTGAACTTGCATATGAATTCCCTGGAGCTTATTAAAATGCATATTTCTTGGCCTTGCCCCAAAATAACCTGAGTAGGTCTGAGGATGAATATTCATTTTATAAGTATTGTGCAGAAACACCAAATTGCTTCATCACAGATTTTTTTTAGAATGCAACTACTTTTCTAACAATAGTTTGAATGGAGCCAATATCCTTAATGATAAAAGCTCTTATAAAAACAAAAAGTTGAACACAACAGAAAAATGGACTGGTACATAAAATGATATTTCATGGACAGCCAGTGAACAACAACAAAAATTTAGCTTGGGGGTGCCTGGCTGGCTCAGTTGGAGGAGCATGCAACTCCTGATCTCAGGGTCATGAGTTCGGGACCCACACTGGGTGTAGAGATTGCTAAAAAGACAAACTTAAAAAAAAATTTAGCTTAACTAATATTTAAAACAAATTAAGATGTGACTTTAAAGTAGTTTATGTTTACAAATTTGATTAGTAATAGCTAACACTCATCGATCACTTACCATCATCTTATAATCACTGTTCTAAGTGTTTTACATAAATAATCATAACTGTTTAAAAGAGGCACTATATTGATATCTATTAGGTTGTTTGCCCAAGGTCTTACTTCTTACAGCTATGAGAGTCTGAAATCAATTCAGGTTGGTTCCATATTCTATGCTCTTAACATTACATTGTAACAATATATACTCAGAATTGGTAACAATGTCAAGTAATGGACACCCTTACATAGAGCTGAAAGAATAAAATCTTTCTGGAGGAGGTTTGGCAGTTTTAAAAGCCTCAGATATGTGGAGATAGCCTTATGAAGAAATTCCGTTTCTGGAAATTTATCCTAGTATTTATGACAGCAAACATATATGGAGCATTTATTATGTGCCATCAAGTGTTAAGTGCTTTCTATGCAGTATCCTATTTAACCCTTACTAAATTTAAGAGGTAGGTGCTATTATCAGCCCAGTTCTTCAGGTGGAAAAACTGAGATGAAGAAAATCTTAATATGTTGTCTAAGATTATTTTAGGAATAGTGAAGCTGGAGTGAAAGCCAACTCTAAATTTCAAAACCCAAATTTTTTGGTATTATGTGGTACCACCTAGTAAGGGAATAGATAGTAAGGGAATGACTAAGAATTCAGGCAAAGATGAATGTAAAAAAACCATACATAACAGGGAATTATTGGATGTAGTTTAGATGTCCAAAAACTGGAGGCTGAGTAAATAAATTTGGGGATAGCCAAATAATAGAATAATATGCTCCCCCTTTTTGTGTGTTTCAAAATTTTATTTAAATTCTAGCCAGTAAGGGGCGCCTGGGTTGCTCAGTCTGTTGAGCATCTGACTTTGGCTCAGGTCATACTCCGTGAGTTTGAGCCCTGCATCGGGCTCTGTGCTGACAGCTGGGAGCCTGGAGCCTGCCTCAGATTCTGTGTCTCCCTCTCTCTGAACCTCCTCTGTTTGAGCTCTTGTCTTTCTCTGTCTCAAAAATAAATAAATACTAAAGAAAAATGAAAAAAAAAATTCTAGCCAGTTAGCAACATAGTGTATGTTAACTCTAGCAGGAGTAGAATTTAGTGATTCATCACTTACATATAATACCCAGTGCTCATCACAACAAATGCCCTCCTTAATACCCATCACCCATTTAGCCCACCCCTCCCCCACCCACCTCCCCAATACAGTCTCATTTAAAAAATGATGTGGTAAGGAATATGATGAATGTAACTTAGCCTCAAATAGTTCAGAAAAATTGTGTGCATGTGCATGTGTGTGTGTGTGTGTATAGAGATGTATGTATCTGTTTGCATGTATCTACCTATTGCTACATATAGAGAGTGCGTGAGTGTGAGAGAGTGCACAAGCAAGCACACACACAAATGATAAAGCAATAGGACAAAATGTTAATAACAGATGATGCTGATACTACTGGTCTTTGGACCACCGTGTGAATAGCAAGGATATAGAGGACTCTTATAAAAAACTGCTTCAATCAGACTTGTGGTAACTGATCAGTTATTAAAATGGCAAATCTCCATAAACTACTTACAAAGCGAAAGGAATTTTTAATATAGGATCTGAGTTGTCAACAGCAAGGCTTCCAGATTTAAAGTGAGGACTGAACTGTGTCAGATGATTTCGAAGAATTCCAACAGCGACTTGTGCATGTGGATCAAGACTAACTCTGAAAATGTTAATTAAAAAATAGTTACTTTTTAGGAATGATTTATTCCAAATTAACTCAATATATAATCTATTTTACAAACAAAGGAGCGCCTGAGTGGCTCAGTTGGTTAAGGTCTGACTTCGGCTCAGGTCATGATCTCTTGGTTGACGAGTTTGAGCCCCATGTTGGGCTCTGTGCTGACAGCTCTGAGCCTGGAGCCTACTTTGGATTTTGTGTCTCCCTTTCTCTCTGCCCCTCCCCTGCTTGCACTCTGTCTCTCTCTCTCTAAAAAATAGATAGACATTAAAAAAAAAAAAAAACCCAAAAACAAAGTCAACAGTTTGAATTCCAACATACCTGAATATAATAACACTTCCTGGAGACAAGTTTTCAAATTCTATTTCTTGAATATATTCGTTGGGTCCTTTTGTGGCAACTCCAGCTTGTTTAACAATTTTACTTTCACTAAGCTTGAAAAAAATTGTATAAGACCATTTAACAAATAATTCTAATGTCCTTAAAATGTTAAATACAGCAGTGAGATTAGAGTCCCAAATACCTGAATATGTTCTCTAATTTCTACTGTGATATTTGGCATTCCATTGATGAAATTCTCATCCTTCCGATAAGGTTTTGCATTTCTCTCAATAGTTCTGGCTTCAAGAACTACTTCTTCAATTTTGCCTAGGAATACATGAAATGTTAATGAAATTTCATATTAAACCACCTGAAATTAGGAATTGCTAAAGGGTTTTAAAATAACTTAAAGTTGAATATGAAATATCAGTCTGAGGGTAGATGATTGTACCCAAGATGCATTTTTCACACAATGTTTTTGTTTTTAAAACATAAATTAACAAAGATTTATTTGAAAAGAGATCTTATTCAAGTAATAATGGCTTAGCTCTCAGGAACAATACATAACCTTCCTAATTTTAAGCAGAGAGAAAATAAATCACTTAGAAGACTTGTATTAAGAATTGGAAAATTTCAGAAATACAAAAAGTAGGGAAAAATTAAAAAAACCCAGGTCCTACTTCCTAGCTTAGGAAAACATTACAAATGTGTACCTTTCCTTCTCCTTCAGAGGTAACTACTATCTACAGTTTGGCGTTCACTGATCCTGTGCACTTTTACTACATATGTCTGTTTCCTGACACAACAGGTTATTTTCCTATTTCCAAGCTTTATTAAAATGGAATCAGATTATATACATAGTTCTGCAATTCGCTTTCTATTAAACAACACTGTATATTTTAGATTTGTTCACATTGCTACATTAGCTGCAGCTCATTTATTTCAAATGCCAAATAGCATTCCACTGTATGAATATACCAAATATATTCTCATCCCTGTCTTCTAACGGAATATCTGAGAGTTGTTCAGAGATATACCCAGGACAGAAGTGCTGAGTCAAAGGATACATAAAACTTGAATTTTATTATTTAAATAATTTAAGCTTTAAGCCATTAATCTGACAATAGGTAACAGCACCCTTTGGATCCAGAAATTCTACTTCTCGAAATACATACTAAGAGCTTGTTTAAAAATTTTTTTTAAATGTTTTATTTATTTTTGAGACAAAGAGAGATAGAGCATGAATGGGGGAGGGTCACAGAGAGAGGGAGACACAGAATCTGAAGCAGGCTCCAGGCTCTGAGCTGTCAGCACAGAGCCCGACGCGGGGCTCGAACCCATGGACCATGAGATCATAACCTGAGCCGAAGTCGGATGCTTAACCGACTGAGCCACTCAGGTGCCCCACTAAGAGCTTGTTTAAAAGAAAAAATTATTCTGAAAAAATTATTCCTAATGTATATTCAAAACTTAAATAAGACACTGCTAAACATATAAAGAATATTAAAAATAGATACTAACATAATAAAATATGAAATATTGAACATCATGAAAATCACAATTTCGTGGACCAAATGGGGATGTTTTAGTAATGATTGGTGACCAAAACAAAATCTGAGGTAATACTGTCCACACTGATTCCAGCCATGTAAAACTATGTATGTACATTAGCAACAATTAGACAAGATTACTGAATATACACTTGTAAACAGTTAAAAATAACTAATGAACATTTAATCCTAAAACTGTTCAAGTTGATAATTTTTAAAAATTGGAGTTATGCATATTTAACAACTAGCAACCGACATAGAATATGATTATTTTTATAGGAATCTTCATCTATTCTTATAATTGACAGACTGGGATAGCTGTTAATGCTCACAGGAGAATGTTTTGCTAGAATATATGATATATAACAGTAAGTGAGGAGATAAAATACACACATCTAGAAAAAAATCTAGCAATAATAAGGATATATCTCAGGAATGCATTTTATAATTGTCAAAGAAGAGATATGGGAAGACTATAATTGCTGTATGTTCACAAAAGAGAGAAATTACTGAGTACTTAGAAAAGGTTTTTCAAGGGAGGTGGAACTTTAGTTCTTGAAAGATGTGAAAAATACACATATATAGATGTTAGTAAGACTACTTGAGGACCAATGAAAATATCTATCTGGTTAAAATAGTGGAGTAACAGAGGGCTAGGAAGGCAGTTGAGGATGGGTTATGAAGAGCCTTAAATATTAAACCATTTTTTTACTTTGGTTTATATAAGTGTGTAGGTATGTACATGCACATACACAAATACACACACGCAAATATACGTACAGACACATGAATGTACACATATATTTCTTGGGTATAAAAGAAATACATGTAGGTTTTATAAAAATTAGGAAACATGGGAACGTATTAAGATAAAAATAAAGCTATTTCACAACTCAAAAAATGTTAATATTTGAGAATATTTCTGACCAGGTTTTGTTCCATGTAGTAAAAATGTAAGTTCCCCCAAATTAATTCCTTTCTTCCATTCTTTTTTTGAAGTAAGCTCTATACCCAACATGGGGCTTAAACTCATGACCCTGAGCCAGCCAGGTGCCCCAACTTACCCAAAATTTCAAATTCTTTTTCTCAACTACAGCTATACTTGCAATGTGTTATAATATATGCTATATAATTACAATTTAATATAACAAAGTAATATAATCACAATATACCAGGGATATATTGCATTACCAGGGATGCACATTTGAGGTACTTCCTTGCTATAAAATGAGGTCTTAGGATTCCTGAAAGCAGTTCTAGACACAGACACAACAGACTGATGAATACTGGGCGAATGTCTTGTTACTGCCACTATGTCTTCATCAACCTGATCCACATACACCTGAGAAACAGAAAGAGAAAACACATTAGCACTCAAACTGGAAAGACTTACTCTGAAATTAAACCTTAAGAAACTTAACAAAAATTTAGTTTCTTGCCTGAATGAAACCCTTGGCCCCAAGCTCTTGATGAAGTTTATTGATAGCACATCTGGCTGCAATAATTCCACTTTGGAAATTAACTTCACCTGTATTTGATGGCGATGCTCCAGGATTCCACTTAGTATAAAACCGTTCTTCAGAAACCACTGAAATCTGAACAAAGTTAAAACTTAGCCATGTATACCTTTTAATTATAATGAGAACTTTTGGTAAAAGTGCTCAAGGTTGTTGGCCATTGTGGATTTAAAAAAAAAAACAACACACAAACACACCTGATGAGGCACTAATTCATCATAGCCTTTAGTACTTCCACTAGCACAACATGCCATAGAAACAATCGTGGTACTCGGGAGAGCATCATATTCTGACCTATGCTAGAGAACAATAAACAAACAAACAAAAAAACAACCAAGTTTATTTTCTTTTAAATGCAAAGTGAAGTAAAGGATACATAGTTACACACTATAAGACATTCATATGCTTTAAAACAAATAAAACATTAAAAAACTATGTACCACAATCACTTATAAATCTAAGACATGATTCTGAAGTATGTAGATATTATTGCCACTAAGTATCAGAGAACTAAATATCAAAACATTTATTTATTGATTTTTCCTTTTTCAAGTTTTTATTTAAATTCCAGTTAGTTAACATCCAGTGTGTAACATTAGTTTCAGGTGTAGAATTGAGTGATTCATCACTTACATACAACACCCAGTGCTCATCACAAGTGCCCTCCATAATACCCATCACCCATTTCATTTAGCCCATGCCCCCACCTACCTCCTCTCCAGCAACCCTCAGTTTGTTCTCTATACTTGAGTCTCTTTTATGGTTAGTGTCTCTCTCTCTTTTTTTTCCTCCTATGTTGATCCATTACATTTCTTAAATTCTACATGAATTTAGCAAAATAAGTAAACACAAGAAAGAGATTAGATGCTTACCACAATAGGACACTCATTATCATGGGTAATATCCATAAACAGAGCGTGTGCAATAGCCGGCATTAAAGGCCTCAGACAAGGCTGAACAAAGGATCCAACAGGTTCTCCTCCATATCTATAAACTAACCTCCCTTCTTCATGGCTATTATATGCACTCATTGCCTCTGCAAAGCATTACAAAATATTTTAACAATCTTCATTATTATTGTCCAGAAGAGGTTAGGTTTCTTACCATAACTAACTTTCCAAACAAAGGCCACATAAATATTATAAAAAATAAAACTACTTTAAACATTTAAACAAATGTCTATTACTTTAAGTGACAAAAAAGTCTTCTCTATAACTTAGCCGAAGAAAAGGCTTATGTAGGTAAAAGGGAACACATGTTGTTTATTAGGATGTTGGTTATATAAAATCTATGGGAAAAAACCTAAGATTATATCATCTATCCAAGTAAGAGATGAAAAACAGATTTGTAGATTTTCAAAAACAAAAAAATACTTTTGTTCACGAGTCATCAATTCATCCTACCGGTCTTTCAATTTAAAAATGAGATATTTTTGGGGGCGCCTGGGTGGCTCAGTTGGTTAAGCCTCCGACTTGGGTTCAACTCATGATCTCACGGGTCACCAGTTTGAGCTCCGCGTTAGGCTCTGTGCTGACAGCTCTGAGCCTGGAGCCTGCTTCAGATTCTGTGTCTCCCTCTCTCTCTGCCCCTCCCCTGCTTGCACTCTGTCTCCCTCTCTCAAAATAAATAAATAAACATTGAAAAAAATTTTTAATGAGATCTTTTTCCCCAAAGTGGAAATTTTTCCTAATAAAAACAGACTGAGTTACAGAAAATTTTGTATAGAGTATTTAAAAGAACATTAACTATGTTGGAAGTTACTAAACATTGTATGTAAAGCTATTAAATGCCTTTAATCTACTTGAACAAAAACTAAAGTTTCAGATGGGAAATACACGTCAACAAGCCTACCTCTTATTAGGGAGCTAATGCCCAGTCTAGTAACAAAGACATTGTCCAGGTCTTCGCTTCCCGTGAACAGTTCAGCCACTACATACAAATTGGGTTGCAATTTCCTAGCAGCATCCAACATGTACTGCAAAAAGCACAGTCACACATGTAACACAAAGAGAAAAGCGAGTAGTGGGGAAGGAAAGGAGGCAGAACTAGGCATGGATTTGACATAGGAAAATATCATGGAGCAAGACAAAATGGAAATCCAAGAGGAATTTCCAAATAAATTTAATTGTACACATGTAAGAAAACATAAAATGGACCAACACACAGAGGAAACAAGAGAATTTATAAATAGAAAACAGTTAAAAAGGAAGATTAGATTTTGCAAAGATATAGAAACACAAGGGGGGCAAAAAAAGGAAGAAGAAAAATGTTAGTGTCACATTAAAAAACGTAAACCATACTGCTGTGATTCTGCTAGGCTTTCCCCCTGTTTTATGTGCATTTGTTTTTAATACTCTAACCAGACTATTAATTTTCAGGCAGCTGACTAAGCCATTATTAGGAAATTCCCTGATGGTGAATCATTTAGCTATTGCAAAGATTAGGTCTGACGAACCATACTAAAGCTAGCTTTTCCTACAGATGGTAGTAAAATCTTAATCAGAAATTAAATCAATTTCATTTTTTTTCATGTAACATTTGTAAAAAGGTTAACAAAATTGAAATTCTATCAGCTAACAAGTAAAATCCTAGAGGATTTTGTAACTCAAAATTAAGGAAACTGAGTTTTAATTTTCTGTTTTGTTGTAATAACAACCTTAGAAATATGTATATATGGCTGTTGCTAAAAGTACAATAAGAAAAAGACCTCTGCAAGTTTTTGGAGCTAAAAAATGTGCTAACCATCTTAACTAATGTTCACTAAAGTCTTCCAAATCAAGTCAATTTTTCATCATAGGACTTGAAACATATTCATTATAATACGGCTTTAGAATAATAGGTATTTTCCAGATACGCACACATTCCGAAAGAATAGTAAGTTGTCACTGGGAAGCTATCAAAGGTCTTATAAACGGGATGAAAATTTTAAGTGTTTTCAAAGCTGTATTAGGTAGAAGATAATGCTATAAATTTTGGCACTGTTTCAGTTTCTGTAAAAAAGCCCGAAGAAGGATAAACAACCTTTATGTTTACACTTACACTTTTATAAATAATTAATTACAAATTGATTGAAAGAGGCTAAAATTAGCTTCAATATGCTGTAATGTTAGTGCTTAAATAATAACATAATATGTAACAGGTGACTTCACAGTGTCTATTAATATATTAAAAGCAAACTAAGAATAACAAGGATAAGACAAATTGAAATTTATATACCACTAAAATATTATTTAAAGTTAATAATAAAATAGTAATAATATGTTAACAATATGCATGACAGTATGGTTATGTATATATTATCAGAGACAATATGATCTACTTCCCTAAATTAAAATAAAAATATTAACCTATCAAACATTTTATAGCCCAGTATTCCATAGCAACTGCATCAAAAGATTCTGTTACAATTGTGAAATTATGCCAAAGTGCTAAATACTCCCACCAACTCAATGCCAGTGTCTAACTAGCAAAAGGAAACATGTATTTGCATGTTTTATTTAAGGAAAGCGAGGAAAGAACACTACATTTCTTTTTTTTAATGCAGATGAATTGTTTTTCTGTACCTCAGCTACGTGAAGGGGTGTTGAGTGGCAGTTATCAAGACGCACTCCCTGGAAATAAGTCGCAGTTATTTCAGTGTATTTTTTCATGTGTGCCCAGAGAAAAGGACAGTCGTCTGGTTTATTCCCATAGCGTAATTTGACGCTGTCTCCCCAGCAAATAAGTTCTCTCCTTAGATAAACATCTGAACCTGTTAAGAAAGGAGCTTGCTTTCAGTGGGTCAGGAAATAGAATAAAAACAATTACTTCAAGGAAATACTGCTGTTTTTAAATCACACCGACTATTTCTACCACAAACCATATATTGGTTAAAATTATGTCTAAAATGGTATTGGCATCTAAATTTATAAAGTTTTACAAAGTTAATATTATTTTATATCTTACATCTATTTCACCAAAATTCTGTTACAGTCTCTTCTAAAAATGTGTGCTTAATGTCAAAAATTCAAGTTGCTTCTGAAAGTTAAACTGTAGCAGTAGTATCACAGGCCCTTTGAAGATAGAGTTTTACCAAAAACATTTAAACCTGCCTTTCCACCTTGTTACTCATTGTTGGCAATAAGTTACATTACATCCACAGCCTAGGGCAGAAGGCCTTTTCTCACTTAGAATAACTAGAAAGGAGAATGCAGAGATACTTAAACCCAAAGTACATTCTTTTTTAAAAAATGATATTTTTGAATTAAATTTAATGTCATTAAAACAGACTTCTGAAATGTTAAAAAAAACAAATACATTGATGGGTCCCCAGCAAAATTCTTCCTGGCAAAGAAACAGCTATAGAAAAATAAAATGCTAGGAGAGAGAGGGAACCTGAAAGCTGAATTTAGTGTAACTGCTATTCAAATACCTTAATACCTCTCTGGCTACTGAATGAAATATCTCTTAAGGTAATATAATTGTAATAGCAATAGTGTCAAATGTATTTTAAAAATGCAATAGGTTAAATTTTTGACCAAATAAAACCTTGTGCAGAACCATCATATAAAATAGGTAAAAGCCATTCTAGTTGAGCATATGAGAAGGAGGGAAAGAAGGGGGAAAGGAAAAGATGAATCCCATCTTTTTCGTCAATCCCTTCTCTTCTCTCTCAAACTGCATGCACTTCTGGCACCTCTGTGATGAAATACTTTAAGAACCATTAGCCTAGTGGGGAAAAAAAGTCAACGAAATAGTTTATATTTTGAGCTTGCCATAAAGTTTTCTTTCCCTATCCACAGAGAAGTTAACAAAAATGATATACCTGGTTCAGCAAAGTTTCGAAGGGGATCATCTCCCATTACCCACCCATTATGTGCCATCAGAAAACAAGCTTTATTTGGGTGATGAATCATAGATTCTTCTGTGGAGAGGGTCATTTCTTCGAATGGGAAAGTAAAATATCTATGGAGATACAATTAAGTATTAAATCCACAGGGAGAAACTCTTTGGAAACAATTTAAATTAGTACTATCAAAATATAGTACTTCCTCCTTAGCAAATAAAATAAGATTAGTTCGACACTATAGAAAATAAACTTCATTACAGGTCAAAACCTTCAGAAGATTTCCTTTTTTTTTATTAAAAAATTTTCAAAAATGTTTACTTATTTTTGAGAGAGAGATAGAAAGTGAGTGGGGGAGGGGCACAGAGAGAGAGAGAGAGAGAGAGAGAGAGAGAGAGAAGGAGACACAGAATCTGAAACAGGCTCTGGGCTCTGAGCTGTCAGCACAGAGCCTGACACGGGGCTTGAATTTGGGAACAGTGAGATCATGACCTAGGTAAAGTAGAATACTTAACCAACAGAGCCACCCAGGTACCCCCAGAAGATTTTCTGAGTAAATCTACTAGCTTTGAGAAATGCACAGTTAGCATTATAGCATTCTCTGGTTAACATCTTAAATAATAACTTAAAAAATCTCATAAAATTACTAAAAAAATCACTGAGGTATTGATGTTACTTTGTAAAAGCTGTTACTACACTTCAGTTGCCTAATCTGTGCTGCACATGACCTACAAGATAAGGAGCTAAATGCTGGTTCAATTTGATTGACATTGAGTTTATTATAGTAAGTACACAGTCCTCCAGAAACATTATTGTAAATGATTATAAATTGGTTCATAGTGATGATAGTTTCTCTAAACACTGGACTAACAAAATTAATTAATATTAAGCCTAGCTACCAAATCAAAACTTCCATTTCAATTAAAAAATGTACTGGAGTTACACATTAAAGGAAGCATTCAGATTAAACTGAGAAGTAAAATACAATTTTCAATTTTTAACCTTTAATGAGAAGAAAACAAAAATGGAATACCTGGTAACTAAAGGATGTTTTCTAGTGACAGGTCCTAGTTTAGGACCATGGCCAGCCAGTCGTTCATAAAACACATTTCCCAAGAGGCAATTAACTGCCTAGAACACATTAAATGAGGTTATGTCAGTAAAACCAACAACAACACACATTATTAAGACTCAAAGAAAATCAGTAGTTCAAAAGTAGGTGAAACCTGTTCCTGATGATAGTTCACAAGTTGGTGCTTCTCTGAATTTAATTCCTCAATTCTCTTGCGGAACCAGTTACAGCATTCATTAATTGCGGCTGGCCCATTGCTAGAGCAGAGACAGCAATACACACTTAATATTGAATGGTTTTAAAATTCTACATTTAAACATTTTCTCACAAGGGTGGATGAATATATTTAAATATATTCATCAGGATCTTAATTATAGCTGAAGAAGTTTTCCAATTGTAAAAAATTTTATGTACACATATAGGAACACGGACCACCATACAGAAAATAGAGGAAAGCATCATGCATTTGAAGGAGTAGAATTATGGCAAATTCATTTATTTAATTTTCTATTCAGGATTCTAAGAAATAGCCTAATAGTAATACTAGCCGTGAAGGTTTGCAACTAATATCATCCTTTATTTTGTAGGAAAAATACATAACATACTCATGTGGTATGAAAGTTGCTAGTGCAATGTTCATATCTACAGTACAGCCAAGCCTTCTGTATTCAGGATCTTGAATAATCTTAAGGTGTTTCTTTGGATCAGGTTTGGTTGTTATTTTCCTATTTTCTGAAAGCAAGAGCAAGAAAAGATGATATCTTAAATGCAAATATCCACAAGGAGATTGTAATCATTACTGATTCCAAATTTTTAATTTACAATTTTTTCATAGAAAATAAAATGTTTACTTCACAAGCAGCCTTCCTACCCCCATCTTCCTGAACACCACCTAACACACACACATTCACACACACACTCACACACACACTCACACATATATATATATACACAGAGAGGGCGGGGTGGGGGGGGGAAGGGAGGGAGGGAGAGACAAGAACATTATAGGAGAAAAACACAGGGATTCCTATCAGTTCAAACACTTCCCCACTTTTCTGCTTCAGTCGGCATTCACTTATTCTACTATACATTTTTTAGGGCATTAAGGATGCTGGTAGCACAAGTTTTCTTTTTAGGTGTTAGCAAATACACTAATATCAGGAGGTCTTTTTCTTCAAAGACTGCTTTCTATTCAAAAGTGTTTCTTTACATACTCTGAAAGAAGCACACAGGGTTGTTTCTATACTTTTTTCCTTTTCACCAACAAGCATATTCCTTACATAAAAATAAAAAAGTAAAAAGTAAATAAATGCTCTGTGGGAGGAATTTTCATGCCTTTTCTGGAACTTGTTCTTAGTAAATTAGGTGTTGTGCAGGATTGCCCCCACTGGGCTTGATTTTATAATTACTAATTAACATCTGGTTTATTCTAAAGAGATCTTGAAGTGGCTTATAAAAGCACAAAATAAGATAAAATATATATAAACTCTTAAAATCTAGTGTCTGAGGTTCATCTGCAAGAGTAACCATATGAGCAATACCTATCAAAATAATAC